TTGCGCAGAGAGTCGCCACATAAATGCTGGTCTATCTCGTTATGGAGTGAGATTCAAGACCCGCGACGTTGTCAGTGCTCCTGGCCGTGTCATGAGGATCACAACGATGTATAATGTTATAGGGTTTCGTTATGACCCCGCGGAGATCAATGACCAGAGCCAAATGCCCCGCCGGCTCTGGTCTCTCTCCGCTGCTCGTCTGCGTCTCCGCGCGCTGCGCGCTACCTCGCTACCCCGAGCGCGGGGCGCGGGGCATTTGGCTCTGGTACCCTTTTCTTCGCTGTTTCGAATCCAATTTTAGCAAGCTATATATCATTTTGAAGCTCTTGATCTCTATTTTCACGCTGACAACGTCGCAGGACTCCTTTTTATGATTTAAGCAAGAAATCCGGCAAAAACCTTGTTTTTGAAAATCTCTCGTTTTTCTCCTAGTTTGACTCTTTTCACGCAGTTTTTTTGTGCAGTCGATAGGTCTTGTTTCTGTCTATAATGTAGACAACGTCGCCGAGCTTATTTCTTTGCTAATGCCGCTTTTTTTTGTGAAAATTAATAAAAAATGCGTTTTTCTTTACCTTATTCTTTTTCAGTAGTTTCGCAACGAATTTTCTCCAGCTTGGACGATACTTGCTCAGAATGATGAGCGGAAGAATCCAGACAACGTCGCAGGGTACAAGAGGGACGGCGCGGGGGTAAAAATTTAAAGGACGCATCAAAAATCAAAACCCCGTGTTGCGAATTGCTGGTCCTGGAGCGAAAACTTGCACTCTGTAAAGCCGCCAAATGAAAGATTTCAAATCTTATTGCGGCGTTTTTATCCGGTTTACAGCCGTTTCTTTTGCTTTTATGTCTGTTTTACGTCATATTCTCTTCTCTGATCTTCTTTGAACAACCTTCACCATTTGTGACGTCAGATGTTCGAACAACCTTCACTTTTGGCGCCCTGTCTCTAGGCTATCGAAGGTATGCCCAGCCCCGTAGCTTGAACTTTGCCAAAAAATCGATAAAATGATATAACTGATAATTCTAAAAACTAATACTGTATTCGTAATCGGCATGTTCGCTTACCCTCCCGTGCCAACTCCCAACCCTGCAGTCCAAAATTTGCGAAAATCGATAAAATGATAAAAGTAATGGGCATTTTTGAAAATGGTTATCATATTCGTAATCAGCATGTACGCTTACCCTCCTGTGCCAACTCCCAACCCCGCAGTCCAAAATTTGCAAAAATCGATAAAATGATAAAAGTAATGGACATTTTTGAAAATGGTTATCATATTCGTAATCAGCATGCTCGATTACCCCCGTGTGCCAACTCCCAGCCCCGTAGCTTGAACTTTGCAAAAAAATCGATAAAATGATAAAAATAACTGATAATTCCAAAAACTAATACTGTATTCGTAATCAGCATGTACGCTTACCCTCCTGTGCCAACTCACAACCCCGCAGTCCAAAATTTGCAAAAATCGATAAAATGATAAAAGTAATGGGCATTTTTGAAAATGGATATCATATTCGTTATCAGCATGCTCGACTAACCCCGTGTGCCAACTCCCAGCCCCGTAGCTTGAACTTTGCCAAAAATCGATAAATGATAAAAGTAAATGATAATTTTGAAAACCAGTATTGTATTCGTAATCAGCATGTTCGCTTACCCTCCCTTGCCAACTCCCAGCGCCGTAGCTTAAAATTTGCCAAGAAATCGATAAATGATGAAAGTAAATGATAATTCTAAAAACCAGTATCATATTCGTAATCAGCATGCTCGATTACCCCCGTGTGCCAAACCCCAGCCCCGTAGCTTGAACTTTGCCAAAAAATCGATAAAATGATAAAAATAACTGATAATTCTAAAAACTAATACTGTCTTCGTAATCAGCATGTTCGCTTACCCTCCCGTGCCAACTCCTAGCTCCGTAGCTTGACTTTGCAAAAAAATCGATAAAATGATAAAAGTAATGGGCATTTTTGAAAATGATTATCATATTCGTAATCAGCATGTTCGATTATCTCCCTGTGCCAACTCCCAGCCCCGTAGTTCAAAATTTACAAATAATCGATAAATTTGGTAGAAGTAATAACAAGCTTCCATGCTGGAAAGTGACAAAGACGAAAACACCATCGAGGACCTACAGACAGCATCAACAAGCATGCTTATCCACCAGCGTACAGACAAGCCACCAGTGTACAGACAAAATCCCATTCGGTTTTATATATATAGAAGGATAGCGAATTCAACTTCGAAAACACGCGGGATACTGCGAAGAATCAACAAATTGCGAATGTTGATTAACGTTAGAGCATGCCGCGAACGTTGTCGCTTTAGTGCAGATTTGAACACTTGTTGCGGACTACAGAAATCACTCTTACCGTCCAAATCGTCTCCAACCTTTTCTTTTGCATCTTACTCAAAACCGAAGCCATTTTGGAGAGAGAAAAGCGTATTCCAGTTAAAACTTCCAAAATGCGTACAATATTTTAGAAGTTATTCTTGATGTGTCTCTTTTCACCTTTAGTTTTTTAACGTTTTTTGAATGATTTTATGTCAATAATAATCAAAATTACGTATTGGGTAGTTCAGAACCCTGCTAATATTGAAAATCGTACGATTTTCTTCGAATCGTGTTTTCGAAAGGAAAAAATCATACGTTTTTAACAAGATTCGAAGCAAAAGTCAATGTTGGCGTATCACGAACAGGAGTTGGGTAATCAAAATTTTTAAATGTTTGCAAACATTGTCAACATTATGGCCATATGATCTATTAAATTTTCCCGAAAGTTTTGTCCGTTTTTCAATCACTATAAAATCACGCACAATGAAGACGTGAATGAGTTTCAGAATGCATTCGATGCAGCTTTTCCTTCTCTTTCTTATGGAGCTTCATTTTCTAACCACAATGTTGTATGCATTTTTTGATAATCGCCGAAATTCTCTACCCGTCAGTTTTATCAGCTCAAAGTTAGGCTAATTGAAAATTTCCTTCCGAAGTTCCGGAAAGGTTTAAGTATGGATCAAATAGAGCAATTCTCGAACCACAGGGGTGAAATTTTTAGATTTTTCTAATCTGCTGGTTTTAGCTTCAAAAAAATATTTCTTCGAAGGTCTCGATTTTTGGCAAAGTCATTAAACACGCAACTGCAGCAAATATACTGAAGCTTTTGAAGCTCCAGCGAATCGAAATATAATTCTTATTATACTAGGTTGTCCCATAAGTTTTTTCATATTCGGACCTTCAATTCGATTTTTCTCAGGATCTACAGCACCTAGTAGGCTGCGAATTTTTGGCAGTAATTCTGAGCGAATAAGCTATATAATAACCTACTTGCGGGGAATACAGAAGTGATATAGGCAAAGTTTGAAAATTGAGCGCATTATTTTTTTCTTGGTTTCTAGCCATCAGAAAAACGCAGAAAGTGCATTTATAAATATCCGATGAGGAGAGTATATGCATGAAAAAATAGGAAATTTGCAGAGCTGTTTTGAACTGAGATATGATGATTTTCGTTTTTTCGGAAATTTGGGAAAATTTTTTATTTTGGCTTGGAGCATGTTGCGGATTGGACTTGGTGCGAACTTTTGAACGCCGTCTTGTAGAGCTTGCTTTGATCTGTCGAATGGTACCCTGCAATTTATCAGGAGTTCAAGAAGAACTGATTTATGTCGTTGAAAAGTCAGGTATGAAAAGACTTATGGGACAACCTAATACATTGTTTACGCAACGTAAGCAAGCTTGATTTGCTTCAAAAAGCAGTTTTTTGGAATTTTCTGCACTTTTACGTGGTAAACGTATTCAAAAGCCGCGATTTTTATTGAATAAATAAATAATAATTGTAACGGACTTGGTAAACGTGGCCCATTAATCTGAAATACGTACAATGTAGTAAAAGATTTGCTCTATATAACGATTATCAGCGATCTTTGTAAACATCAGGGCAGAAATATTTTAGAATTCAGGAAAGATTTGTTACTGCTGAGCTGCCCAAACACCCACGGCGATAACATTGCAAAAACAGGGTAGATCAGAGAGCTTTTAGAAAGAGGATAAAAATCTGAATCAAATGGTACCTCACCCTTGTCCATGGATTGGTGTACTGGTTTTTGTGAGCGAAGAAAAAAAACCGACAAAATTTTCGGGACAACCTAATATACAGGGTGTCCCAAAAAAATGTACCTACTGTTTGATTGTGAATAACTCTTTTGTAATGAAGTGTTTCGAGAAGCATTAGGTACCATTTTGTAGAGCGAGGTTAAACTTAGAATTACAATATGGAGCAAATCATCTATCGGTCTTCATTACTGTAGGATTATGGTAAGAACTTCCACATATGGAACCACTATGAAATACCACCTAGCAAAATTTTTTTTAAAAATTCTGAGAAATTGTGTGCTACGGGTTTCGCGCATGCTGATTCCACCCAACACTTTTTACGAGTGATTTCAGCTTTTTTGAGGGTGTAGTCACATTTCTGACAAGTACTGGGAATTTTATTATTACGGTCTACCTGGACTAACCTTGGAAAGAAGCATCACAGTAAAATGGAGATTTCAAATTCGAAATCAGCGGCTCTCATTGCCGTAGTATGAGAGTTTTTGGCTTGTTTTGTTTTGTTCCGAGGCAGAATATAGCCTCCAATGGTCTAAAATCCTTGTCGACGTTAGTACCGTAATCCTGCAATAATGAAGAGCCGATAGATAATTCGCTCCATACTACAAATCTAAGTTTAAGCTCGCTCTACAAAATGATACCTAAAGCTTCTCGAAACACTTCATTACAAAAAAGTTATCTACAATCAAACAGTAGGTAATTTTTTTTGGGACACCCTGTATATTTCTAATCAAGACGTGGATGTCTTCTCAAATCTGTAATTTTCAAAAAATACAGCAATACATTCTGTCCCGCTGATCAGATTGTAGAATTTCACTTAAGGACTTAATTCTGAATATTTCAGTCTTATATCAAAACGCTGACTTTCTCTTTCAAAATAAATTTTTGACTCTTCAGATCGCTCATATTGGAGTACAGCAGGAAGATACCGCTGGACAAAGCAGCCGAAATAGATCACCATTTTGGATGGGGTGCGCTGCAAAACGATATAGCTCCATACAAAAGGACGCTGCTCAACGATGCCAAAAATATACTTTTTGTGAGAGATGAGATCATAACTCCCTTACATCGGTCGTACGCTGTGCGCAAGTGAGCTCATATATATGTTCTATAGCGTAGAATAACCTGTTTCGAACAGTTTGCTCATCATACAGTAATACAAGTGTAGTTTCAAGTAGTAAGACCCTGCAGACACCGCGTAGCACCAAAAGTTGAAGGAAAAGTCTTCCTTGCTTTTGCAAAAAATTGCCTGTAGTTTTACGAAGATGTAGTTTCAAAAAATTTGCAGTAACGTTTGCGTTTGGAAGTAGGAAGACAAAAATAGGTGCTCATGCGGCGGAATGCTAAAATATGGTGACATTTATTGGGTTGTTTCAAACTTCTACCCGTTTTTCGTACCCCATCTCTTTTGGGACCGCTGACTTCAGTGGCCGTATTCATCATTGATACCTTGAGGTAAATTCTACCTCCAGAAAGTTTTATCACTCATTATCAGCAAAATTACATCGAGAGATTACCGCAAGGTACATTGTGAGTACGGGTACTTGCTGATAATGAGTGATAAAACTACCTGGAGATAGAATTTACCTCAAGGTATTAATGATGAATACGGCCACAGAAGGGAAAACCATTTTTATAGATATTTTCATAGACTTCTGTCGTTTGAAAGCTCTGCTTTCGGTTTTTTGTGCATACTTTCGTTTTCGTAAAGCTTTGTGCACCAATTTATCGCCGTAAACGTACGGTAAGCTTGAAAAAAAAAACCTTGTGGATCAAATTTTATTGATTTCTGAGGTTTCCAAATCCACGAAAAGTGAGATGGTCATTTTCGAAACACGATTAGCTTTGTTCTAAAGGTAATCAATCACTTTACGCTCGAAACAAAACTCTTTCTTTGCCTATATGAGAAATATTAGAATATATTAGGTCTTTCCAAAAGTATTTTCGCTTTTTTCGAAAAAGCGCCACAGTCCGCAGAACAAAGATTTATAGGAGCCCTTGGTAGCATTCGATGCAGTTTTTCATGCCCTTTCAAAAGATCATCCTTGTTTAGCAGTTGACGCAATGAGCTATCAGAAAATTGCGATAAACTGCGACCCATGCTTTTTACCAAGGTCAAGTTTCACTGTTTTTATAGATTCTTGCACTGACTTTCCGAAGAAGTCCAAGTAACCTGCGGATAGAGCAAACAAAGTAGGATACAAAACAGTTTCGATCTCCTCCCCAGGGCCCTCCATAATTTTTTGACAGAGTTTTGAACAAAATCATCGAATTTTAGGAGTCCCATACCATCCGCATACTCGTCAAACTCCACAAAATTCTCGTTTTTTGATACTTTTAAAATGGATTAGGATTCAGCACTAATTTTACAAAACAAGTGAGCGTTCCGGGGTTCAGAATATCTAATTTTTGATTTGTCGGGTACAGCCTAGGGTTTTTTAAAAAACATGAATTTTGTCGATTTTATCCTCCAAGACTTCTCGAATCAGGGACAAAAAACATGTCTGACATGAGGAGAAAATGCTGCGTCGAATAACACCCGGTTGCTCGCCGGCTGTTGTTCTATAAGGTTTAAGTTGACCAAGTACGGAATTTGATAGCATCGAAAAAATAATTTTGAAAAATTTTCAAAGTAAGCTATGGAAGGAACAAAAATTGCATCCTACTTTGTTTGCTCTATCGACAGGTTACTTGGACTTCTTCGGGGGATCAGTACAAGATTTTAGAAAAATAGCTGAACTTGACCTTGGTAAAAAGCATGGGTCGCAGTTTATAGCAATTTTCTGAGAGCTTGTTGCCTGTTCTGCATTATAATGATAACCACTTAAAAGAGCATGAAAAAGTGCATTGAATGCTACCAAAACCTCCTATAATTTGTTCTGCGGACTGTGGCGCTTGTTTAAAAAAGCGAAAATACTTTTGGACGACCTAATAATATAGAATACGCAAATAATCACCAAACATGGGCCCGTAGTAAAGCTCGGTCACGGGAGATGATCTCCTCTGAGGCCTTCATATGAGGCTTTGTCGGGTGAGATGAGGACTGCCCACTTTCCGTGGTGTAAATATGCAAGGTCACCCTACAGATGAGCTTCAGACGAAGCCCGGTAGGGAGATCACCTCCCTACCGGAGTCATCGGAGATGAGCCTGACGACGACACAAGGTAAATACTGTGCTAAAGAGGAGAGCACAGAGAAGATCCCCGTAAGTTGCTCCCGAGTAACTTACGAAACATCGCAGATGACGTTCTTTTGCGGTGCAAAACTCCCAAAATTGCACAATTTCGGGCGCCTAAGTGAGTGAGGATCGATGAACAGCTGATTGCGCGACAAATCGGAAACAAGTTTTTTTTTTGCATTTTCTTGCAGTTGTTGCTTGTTTTTCTCAAAAAACCGCTTCAGATAACAAGAATGTGAATTTACGTTTCTATTTATTTTTGTTAAGTGTATCTTTTTCTCGTATGTGTGCCCAAATGTGTATTTGTTTTATCTTGTTGTTTGCTAGGTGAAATCTCTGATAGCGGCTATCATCAATTTTTCGATAGCGGTCGCTATCAAAGGTCGCTGGGCCAAGCAGCAAAAATGGTGCCGCTAGCCGCACTCGAACCACGGCCCCGCCGCTTGCGCATTAGTCTTATCCATTTGACTAATAATGCACAAATGGCAGAAACGTTCCACCTTTGAAAACGCAAACCTCCAGTAAGTGATCTGCTCCAAATCAATCGCTCCCCTGGCAATGCACTGAGGCGCGATGAGATCAGCTCCGGTCCGCCTCAAGAGAGATGCCCTGATGGGGGTTTACTACGAGCCATGATGTAAGAAGCCAGCCAAAATCTCGTTGTCTCATTTTCGCTTTCAGTTGTGCTTTCAGTTATCATTACTCAGATCGAAGTGATAAGGCCCAAAACCCTTCAATTAGTTAAGCTATACCGCATATATAATTTTTGTCACCTTATTTTGCACACAGATGTATTATATTATCGTAAGCCAATGTTCGCTCTGAAGACAGAATTGGAAAAACGACTGTATCTCTAAAATGTTTGCGGGAAAACTTCTAGTGTGAAGAGAAAAGGGTTATCGTAAAAAAAATGTGAAATACGTAAGGGAAGGGCTGTGGCACTACCTCTGGAAAGGTGAAAAACCCTGGAAACACCCTTTTGGGGTTGTGCCACGCCCCATTAACTTTCTTTCAAAAAGATTTTTGCAGAATTTTTTTCTCATATATTCAACAGCTTGGATCTCGTAGCACGAAAGTGATTTGAGCTATCTCATCATTTTTAGTCAGTGTAATAGTTGCTGACAACCATTGGAAGCGGAAAGTGGGACAAACGAGGTTTTGGCTGGCCCCCATTTTTATACTTTGGCGGTTGTTTGAAGTGGAATTTCTCATGTAGGCAGAAGAGTAGTGCTTTGTAATGAGTGCAAGAATAGATAGCTAGTTCACCCAAACATAGTTAGTGTTTGAGAACGACCATTCTTAGTTGAGTGGCTTACTTCAGAGTTTACCGAAACTTTGTCCACAGGGGTTATCTAATCATAGATATGTTACTCATTATGCTTAGTAGGGTCTCTACATTATGCGGTAGAAGATATTGCTAAGGGAGCGGTATCGCCTGCGACACTCAACCGAGTGGGGGGGGAGAGGGGGGAGGTGCCCGGCGGTTGTGCGCCACACTTGCTCTACCCTGACAATGACTGAATTCGAGCGAAGACCTTTGCAAGCGCAGTGAGCTTATCATTTTCTTGTGGAAACCATACTCTCGTGATTTCTCTACAAGTGGAATGGAAGCAATGTATTTTGAATCAGGTCTATACCAAACTACATCAAAAGCTTAAATTTAGTTCGAAAACTATTTTCTAATGACTACTAAGAAGTACCAAAACGAAACCATTTTGCGATCGAAACATGTCTGGCTTAGGCTTTGTTTAGAAATATGTCAGTAATGCTGGAGAAACTAAACCGGGCAATTGCACGCGCTCATCACGGGTAAGTTCCTTTGGATTAATTTATTGAGCTTGACCTTATTGAGTTAAGATTTGCCACGATACGTAAACGTTACCAAGAACCATACCGCGAATATGTCAACGAGCAGTTTCAAAAAAATGCCAGCGTACTCAACCTTGGTCATGTCAGCCATCTTCTGCTTTGGGCAACAAATCTGCTTCTACTCTCAGTCATTTGCTTCTTTGGAGGTAAAGCACTCAGTTATCAGTTTTTGCAGTTCGCACTCGAAACTTTTACCACAATCAAAATGCAGCAAATGTTTCAAGATAAGGGCGAAAATGAACGGTAAAATTTAGGAAGACATAATACCTAACATCTGATGTTAGGTGACTATAGGAGGGAGGTTTTGCGCGACAAGGCTCCTTAAAGTTGGCGCTTTCACAAGTTTTCAGGGGTGACTACCGGAAATTGAATTGTAGGCGTCTTCTACTCAAGGTTGCTCCCGCGCAACCTAGGAGCACCGTGGCGTGGAGGACACCAGGGCCCGTAGTAATCTACCCTACCTGCCGGCACCTCATGCCCTGAAGTCGCCCTGATGTGGACTTGAGGTCCCCAAAATCTTAAACTGCCTCCGGGGACCCCCAGTCAGGCTGATCACATATTTTTTTGTGTTACGGTCCAGTTTTGCTGTTGAAATAATGGGAATTGAAAGCAAATCCAAAAAATGTCCTCGTTGGCCATTTATTTGGCCCGAATTGTGAACCTGCCGGCAGGTTCACGATCTATTTTCGTCGAAATTTGAGATGCCATCCAGCTCGCAGCCTGCCGGCAGGTCAGAGTGTGCAGGAAATAGTGTGTAGTTTGTGGAGTGCGACCTGCCGGCATGTGGACGTGCCCCTACCACGTCCACATGCCGGCATCTTTGCCGACCGCGTCTGTGAAAATGCGTCGCGCGGCGATATCACACAATTTACGTACAGCAAAAGAACCAAAAAAATATTTTCCATCGGAAAACTATCATTTTTGCCATCACATGGGTTTTTCTCCCCCAAATTGCTAATATGCATGCACAAGAAACGATTGCTGATATTATAGTACCAAAAAGAACCCCATTTTCATTTTGCAATTCCTTCAAACCTCATTTGCAACGCTTTCGTCTCTCGTTCGCTCTTATCAATCAGCTGTCTTTTCAGGTCAACGTCCATCGCGCATTGTATTGATCATGCTCATATACAGGCGCTCACTGCTTAGGCAGCGTTTTTATGATTGCTGCCGCAGACAGCAGGAATTGAACGAGTGGTCGAATGACTAGTGCGGCGGCGCTCAAGGTTGACGCACGCAGGTTCGGGCGATGTCGCTGTTTTGCGGATATCAGCGGCATCAAGATTTCATGTGCGAAGGAGAAAAACAAATAGGGTGTATGCCCTTCTGAACCGCTTCGTCCTAGCGCTAATTACTCTGCCACGCGGAGCTAATTACTCTGCCTTTCTTATAACCTATCAAAGTTCTCAAATACCTCTGAGCATTCCAAAGCAAGCGAGGCACACAATAACGATAGTAACGATGTCTGAATTATGAAGGCAAAAAGTTGGAAAAGTTGCATGTTTTTTTACTGGCCTTTCGTGATTTTTTCTCCCTTCCCACTTTTCAAAATACCATGAAGTCTGCACGTGTAAGCTGAAAAATCTACCTTAGCCGCCCACGTATAACATTTTTGAGTTTCATAGGAAATTCAGACATCTCTAACGACAGCATAGCTCTCGCCTACCCAAGCGCCGCGGCAGCGCCGACCAATCAGAGGCCGCGCACTAATTAGGCTGCTAACGCTAGCGGTTCAGAAGGGCCGTCTCCCAAACAAATAAAATTGCGGTAATCTAAAGCAAGAATTAGCTTGCGCCCGAAACACGAACATGCCGCGAGGTTCGCGAACTTGCCGGCATCTTTGATGCCACGTGGTAGGGTAGATTACTACGATCCCAGGTCACTGATAGGTTCCGCTCTCTCGTACAGCTAATATGAGGCGGCACTGGTGAAGGTGCTTGGTTTGTTGCAAATGTCGCGCGAGACCTACCCTTTTGGTGATCTATTGTCCTCTACCTACCCAGCACCCTGTGGCTGCACGGGACCAAAGAAAGTCATCAAAATTTTACATATTTCTGATCTTCAGATCAAACACTACCTATGAGTGCTCACCTTGACTTGGTATTATTCCCTCTGCATTGCTGCGGTTATTCGTGATCAGAAAAACGAATTTTTTGCTTGTTGTTTTATCTCTGAACTTCCTTGTCTTTAATTCACTTCCATTCACTCGACGTTCGCTGCAGATTATTGGTCGTACTTCTACAAAACCATAAACGGTACTTCATAATCTTCTGCAATGTCAAGGGGCTCTCCGTTTCCAAAATTCGCAAGTACCACCTCATGCTGGGCACTGTTGCGGATGTTTTTTTCCAGATGTTTGAAAGCATAAAAATCCTTAACGTCGTTGATTTTGGCTAAGTCTACATAGTCTAGGAGCCAAAGTTGACCTCGGACACCATGCGATAATATGGTTTTTATCATTTTCAGAATAGAGTTTCTAAAAGATGATGTAATTTCAATCAGTGGTAATCTCATGTAGACGTGTATACATACTCAGCGTGTTTTTGTGGGAATGCTAAAAAATCGCGGCAAGGACATGCTACAAAGTCGCAAAATTCCATACTTTCCTCATATGCATCAAAATTCTTACTGGCGAACGGTAAAAAATGGGGCAGCTTGATTTTTGTTACATTTTAAGATTTTTTGATTTGATCAAGAGCAAGCAGGCTGCAATTTTAACGTCGCTTACATAACCGAGCTTCGCCCTATTCTGGTAACGCGTTAACGCTCCTTTCCCACAACCCTGCGCGTGGCGCCGTGAAGAACTTAAACAGGGCTTTTCGAACAACTCTTTTACTTGCGCTGCTATACCGTAGAGTCATAAAGCTATTGACATATCATTCAAAAGAGCTCTTCATGCACTTTAAAACAATATATTGAACATGTAGGATTCCTCAATACTTCTGGATAAAAAAAGCAAAATACTTAAAAAGTCGCGATTTTTTGGCGCAATAAAAATAAAAAACATGTTTCATCGTATATCTTCCGAGGACAGATAAAATTTAAGGTTAATGCATATGGATGGATAGAGCATAAAGAGCTCTACTAGATGGTAGCCAGATAACATGCATTCACTTGCAAAGAAGTAAATAACAGGCACTTCGTTCCGGAAAATGCTATGACCATATCTCTTGACTTTAACGGCCAGCAAGCTATCGTGGGTTTGGTGACTGTACCTTCACACATTGTAGCAATGTTTTTTTGGATGGTCTCACATGTTTCAGTGCGCAGATATTGCTCGAATTTTATAATTTGTCGAAGTGGCTGACTTTGCAATTCAGCAAGTATAAAAACTATCCAGTACGTTGATGGCGTTATATGGGTGTTGTCTGAGAGAGAACAATACATTCTATTATCTGCCAAAATTGCAAAGTTCAATTACTTCTCTTTCTTGAGAAATCTACAGTTATTCTTTAGGTGCCCCATTTTTTACCGTTCACCCTAAATGTTGGTACAATAAATGCTGTTTGCAAATGTGTTTTGCAAGGTCTCATCTTAATGAGCTGTAACTTTATCAAAACTCATGTTCTGTAAAAACTATCAAAAGCACTCCCTTGGTAAATTAGCGCACTCTCATCAATGCTTATAACAGAGTCACAGACAAAATCAGAAAACCTCTTTTTTGACTCAGCTTGACAAGACATAGCTGGCAATCAGCCTATTCTGTAACCGCAAGGAGTAGACAAGTCCGAACAAGGAACGCTTCACCGGAGAGGATCTGGGAGAATAAGGCAAAATTTATGAGCCCGCTTTCTGTAGGCCCTAATAGGATTATGAGAATTTCAATATTTTAGTACTGCACAGTCTGTTGTTCCTGTAATGGTGTCAACACCTACGCTTGCAGTAATGAGCGAGGCTTTGGCGATTGTTTTTTATAGAAGAAATTTTCGGGACTCTCGTAGCAACTTTTTGACACGGCTTATGTCTCAGTCTGGTAACTTTTGAAAAGATGGTTAGAGGTACTCTAGAGAATTTTACCACATACAATGAGTGAGTTTATCGAAAAGTGCAATCATTGCGGCTCATTGTGGCCAAAAACCAAAGCAATGAAATCTCCGTTCTGAATGCAGATGTTTGAAATTCTATAGAATTTTATTGGATAAGGCTACATTTCATTGATCAAAATACATTGATGATGTTCATCGAAATCCGCCAAATCATCATCAATCATAAGAGGATTCTCTAAATAGCATAAAAGCTTTGTTTCATAGAAGAGGTTTGCACGAAAAAATTGCCCGGAAAGAGGGTCTAGAAAAATACGCATTGACTTTCCACCCTTAGGACAGCGTTATGATGCTCAAAAACTGTGGAAATGTAAGAGATCTTGATCCTAAAAAAATGCTTGAAGCTTCACATTATCATAACCTGATAGTTTTGCTTTTCAGAGCTCCTCTACTCTCGCTACAGCCCACGCTTCTTATCTTGGATCAGAAGAACGGAGCGTCTTGAGTTCCATGTGATCGAAGAAACGCAAAATAACATTGAACTCACGCGAGTATCGCGTTTGAAAGAATGAAACTATCAGCTATACCATGCAAGTGTGGCATCACCAACCACACATGACCTTTGATTCAACTGCCTTGGCGTCTGGAAGGCGGGGCTTTGTGCCCTAATTGAGGCCGCTCACGTCCGCAACGCAGTCTGCGTTACCTCATATTGATCAAAAGCCCAGGTGGTGTGGAAGCCTCATAATCCAAAATTTAATAAACTCAGGCGGTAAAAATTGAAAATCTTTTTTTGATTATTGGGCTAGCTTTGATCAGTGTAGTGTCTTGAACTAGCGTTGCGTTGAATTTAAAACACACTTTCTCGGTTTCTTGGCATATAATTCGTAACGCCTTAAAATCACACTCGAAACAAATACAGTGCAGGTACGCGTGTATGACCATCAAAAAGATGAAAAACGTACCGTATATTTCCGCACATCGAGCAGTAATCGCAACAGATTTGGTTTGAGAAAACACAAACAAGTACTTGTTCATATCTTATATATAAAGCTGAATGTCTGTTTGTATGTCTGTCTGTCTGTCTGTCTGTCTGTCTGTGTGTACGTATGTTCCGAATAGAAAATTCCATTTCTGAACCGATCCGGACCAAACTTGGCACACATACACTACGGGCCCCGGCGGGTGTCATAGGCTACTTTTCGTCATCGATCGATATCGATTTTATCGATTTTTATCAATTTTTTTGCTGAGTTCACCTACGGGGCTGGGAGTTGGCACAGGGGGGTAATCGAGCATGGGGATTCCGAATACAATATTGGTTTTCAGGATTATCGATTACTTTTATCGATTTTATCGATTTTTTTGCAAAGTTTGAGCTACGGGGCTGGGAGTTGGCACAGGGGGGTAATCGAGCATGGGGATTCCGAATACAATATTGGTTTTCGGGATTATCGATTACTTTTATCGATTTTATCGATTTTTTTTGCAAAGTTTGAGCTAGGGGACTGGGAGTTGGCACAGGGGGGTAATCGAGCATGCTGATCATCCCCAAGGGGGGTGATCAGCATGCTCGATTACACCCCTGTGCAAACTCCCAGCCCCGCAGGTCAAACTTTACAAAAAAAATCGATAAAATCGATAAAAGTAATGGACGATCCTGAAAACTAATTTTGTGTTCGTAATCAGCATGCTCGATTACCCCCCTGCGCAAAATCCCAGCCTCGCATGTCAGAATTTACAAAAAATCGATAAAATCAATAAAAGTAATCGATAATTCTAAAAACTAATATTGTATTCGGAATCCCCATGCTCACTTCCCCCCCTGTGCCAACTCCTAGCCCTGTAGGTGAACTCTGCAAAAAAAATCGATAAAAATCGGTAAAATCGACATCGATCGATAACGAAAAGTGGACTGTGACACCCGCCGGGGCCCGAAGTGTATGTGTGCCAAGTTTGGTCCGGATACGGCGGAGCCGGGTAAGCCAGCTAGTTGAAGCATAAAAATGAAAGTTGAGGTCTATCCCTTTTTGAAAACAACATCATTTGTCAAATCATTCTCATTGCTTTAAAATACTGGCCGTTTATTCCTCCTACACGCTCCAGTACCGTATCTAAAGATTTGATTGGCACGCTTGTAAAGAGCATAGTCTACCTAAAAACTCAACTGAATTTCAATCAAGAATGAAGCATATAAGGTGAGGTGACTGGGCAAAGCACGAACATTTCAGTCTGCTTGAAAAGTCTACATATAGTCTGTGTTCACGCTAGCTTCCCATAGTACCTCCGCACACACAGCGTCTTCCACTGCTTTTGGAACGCTTGATAGTACATGGTTCATGATTTTTTTCCTGACACTTTTCTTTGCAACTCATTCCTGTTGGGGTTCTGTTTTTGTGTAAACGCTCCTTAGAAAAGGCCGATGGGAAGTTAGGGTTCCTTTTCAATGTATTGATTGGAAACATTCTAGAGGTCGATTATAAAACCGTCACGACGGACTTGACTGTGGTCTGACCACAGAAGCAGAGAACATCCACCCAAAATCTCAACTCCCAGCTCATTCTTTTCCCATGTCTAAATCAGAAGTGTGATTATTTTTGTATACGGCGGCATATATATTTAAAATGAACGTGTTTAGTAAGTGGTGTGTTTTGAAGTGAAATTCTTGAAGTGAAACTCAGCGAGACTTTGCAGATTTTATTGAGTAAATTTTGTTATAACGTACTGCGAAGAAAGTAGGTCGATCCAGGCAGTAACCGCCGAGAACCAGAATTTCGAATGATAAAATAACGAAAAATCATGCGAAATTTCCACTGTTATAAATCTGGTGTTTGAAGATGTCAGCAATTGCGACTTCATAGCTTTTGAAGAGTAAATGGTGCTCTATCAGAGAGTGAAAGAATCAGTTCGATTTGAGAAGTGGTCGCCGAGAGACAGAATTTTAAAAAAATAGGCCATTTTAAGTTGCTTAGTAACAGCTGACAGTTAAATTCATGTAAATCCGGAATGTGAAGGTGTGCAATGTTGCGACTCCATAGGCTTTGCAGAGTAAGGTTTGCCCTATCAGAGTATATCTCACCCGTACCAACACATTGAGAAAGCGCCGAGATGCAGGGTCTCAAACAGGGTCAAGAGTGGGGTGTTGCACGCCACACCTGGGGGTCGTATTGAGGAGTCAAAAGGGGAGCGGGTCGTAGTTGGGTAGTCTGATAATAGTGATAACATGATATTCGTGTCATATCCATAATGAGCATGTCAATTAACTTCTGTAGACAAACTTTGAGGGAATTCTGAAGGTTCAAGATACTAGGCTACCTAAGTGAAATGGTCATTTTCCAACATGATTAACTTTGTTTCAGAGGTGAATTAGCTATCCGTCTCTGCACTCAAGACAAAGCACTACTCCTTCACTCCTTCTTTGTCCATCTTAGAAATCTCGCTTCAAAAGACTTCCAAACTGTGGAATTAGAAGCCAACCAAAATCTCATTTTTCCCTTTTTTCGCTTTTAATGGCTGTGCTTTCCCCAAATATTACTCAGAGCTAAGAAGACGAATCAGGCTCAAAACATTCCTATGGAATCCACGAGATTTAGGCTATAGAATCATATAAATAATGTTCGCCAAAAATGTTTTTTTGATATAGTTAATGGGGTGTGGCACACCCCCTTAAAAGCTGTGGCTGCCACAACTTTAATTATATGATTCGATAGCCTAAACCTCGTAGATTCCATAGGAATGTTTTAAGCCTGATTCGTCTTCTTAGCTCTGAGTAATATTTGGTGAAAGCACAGCCATTAAAAACGAAAAATGGGAGAAATGAGATTTTGGTTGGCTTCTAATTCCACAGTTTGGAGGTCTTTTAGAGCGGGATTTCTGAGATGGACAAAGAACGAATAGTGCTTTGTCCATGAGTGCAAAAACGGATACTAATTCACCTTTGAAACAAGGTTAACCATGTTGGAATATGGCCATTTCACTTAGGTAGCCTAGTATTTTGAATCTTCAGAATTCGCTCAAACTTTGTCTACAGGGGTTAATTGACATGCTAATTATGGATATGACACGAATATCATGTTATCACATTACCATGTTATCACTACCCAACTACGACCCCCTCCCCTTCTGACTCTTCAATACGACCCCCCAGGTGTGGCGTGCCACACCCCACACATGACCCTGTTTGAGACCCTGCACCTTGGCGCTTTTTTATTGTGTCGGTACGGGTAAGATATATTCTGATAGAGCAAACCTTACTCTGCAAAGTCCATGGAGTCGCTAGAAAATTTGATATCCATCGATAACGAAAAGTAGCTTACAACACCCACTCTGCCTCGGAGTGTGTGTGTGTGTGCTAAGTTTGGTTCCGCTTCAAAAATGAATTTTCTATTTGGAACATACGTACACATATACAGACAGACAAACAGACATTTAGCTTCATTTATACGGATGCACGTTCCTCTGCATTTTTCGAGGGGAGTAATAAACGTTCAAATGTGTAAGTTTCCAAGGTCTTGTTAATATGTTTGGAAAATCCAGCTTGGGAGTAACTGACTTGATGCTGACGATACTGACTACAAGATTTTAAAATAATCTCAAAACCTCAAGAATCTGTTTTTGTGCAGTTAAATTCTGAATTGAGTACCTGAACGTTTGAATTTGGTCCCATTAAAACTCATGATTTGTTTTCAAAGTCCTTCAGGAAATATAGAAGGTGGATCCCAAAAATAAACCGTATTTCTAAATAATTCAAACTGTTTTTGTTTTCCTGGCAGACCTGGGGTGCCATTCGATTGAGTGAAGCAAGCTCTACAAAATGACTGCAAAAGATCCGTCTTCGTCGTAATGTTTGGTAGGTAAGGCAAAGTTTAGAGCAAAAATCGAAAAAAAATTCATTACCTGAAAATTGGATTTTTGCGAAGAATAATTGTACGGAACTCAAACTTGATCATCATACAGTAGACACCTAGAGTAATACCCAAATATGCCTTTACCGGATTTTGTTCCCAGCTTAGAAAGAAGGAAGCTTAGAACGCGAGAAAAAAGAGATAGTCTGAAAATGGCAAACTGCCCCAGCCCATCCCATATATGTCATTGTGTACTGGAGCCTTACCCCTGTGCTCTTATGATCAAGAGATACCAAGTTTTACATTTGAAAAACCGAAAAAAGTGGTATTTGGACTTTCCGTACCATCTTTTTTCTCAATTTGAGAACCGGAAAAAATCCGCCAAATACATTTTTGGATACTACTATGTGTCTACCATATGAAGATCGAGTTGGAAGCCGTAGGAATTTTCTGGAAGGAGATCCGATTTTTAGGGTAGCTGAAAAAACTTGATTTTTGGACCCAAATTTTACCTGGATCGCGAACTAGACGATTCCTTGGTGGTCATTTTGTAGAGCTTGCTTCGCTGTATCGAATGGTGGCGCCCCAAGTCTGCCAGGGAAACAAAAACAGTTTAATTTATTTAGAAACTAGCTTGCTTGCCAGGCTCCGCTCGGCCCTGTCAAAACACGTAGTATAGGTCCCATCCCTATCCCTCCCTATCCCTGTACAGCCTTTCCCTGTGTCCA